CCCTGCCGCGCCTTCTCCTGCAGCCACCCGTCCCGCGTCCCGCCTGCCCGCTGCCCCCTGCTTCGGCCTCGCCGCCGCGGGGCCGCTCACGGCGCTCTCTTGGTCGCCTGCCCTAGGCCGAAGCTCCACCGCACACCAGCTTCGGCCGCGCCGCCGGTTTTAGGGATCCCTGGCTTCGCTCTCCCCTTTGCCCGCCGCCCGCAGGAGCAGCGGGAGCTCCGTGGGGCCCTGCGCAGGCCGGATCCGCAGCCCGGTCCGGGGGAAACGGGGCCTTTCTTCCTACGGTTATTTCGCCAGACCGGCGTAGCTGCCTCAGCGGGTTTTGTTCCTGACTTTGTGGGGACGGGACACGCCGTGCCTCTGCGTGGGGCCAAAAGGAGCGCGCAGGGCTGTGGGGGAAGGTGGTAATTGAAGAAATTATCACTGACAACAACAAAAAAAACCCTAAAAATGTAGAACAGCAGCTTCTGAGTCCTCCTCCCCATACCCGTCTTCCTTTGGGATGTGCTCCGGCACTGGGAAAACCAGCGGTAATGATCCTGATGCACCAGGAGGGGGTTTTAGCGTACTTTAAAACAATATCGTAGGAATGTGAAAAGTCGGTTTCATCTGTCAGCACCACGCATTCACTCGGCATGTTTCATGAGCTGCTCGGTATTCCTTGGCAGCCAGACCTGTTGCCCAAAGGCACGGATGAGTTTGCAGCCAGTACCAGGTCTTGCAACCAGAAAAGACGCTCCGCCACGGGGATGCATCACCTCGCAGCTTCCTGGGGAAGAGCTGTGCCGCAGGGCACCGCTGCCTTGGGAGCCGGCAAAATAAAATCACAGGGAAACGAAGTGAGCCTACGCCTGGTCCGACGAACCCTCCGCGGCTGCCAGGGTACAGCCTTGAGAGGGTGGAGAACGCCGGTGGAGCCCATTCCCGCCTTGCATCCCTCCCCGCAACGAGCACCGCGGCAGCAGGAGTCGCTTCAGAGCTGAGGCTGCGCTCCCCGCCTGCTCTGCCCGCGGCTGTCCCCGGACAGGCTCCGCGCTCAGGTGGGCTTTCCCTCCCCAGCCTCCGCTCTGTGTCCCCGCCAAGCCAAGGAGACGTCGTCAGAGCTGCCTGCCGCTCTTGCTCTGCTGGCAGGGACCGTGATCCGCGTCCCCCAGCTCCTGACGGTGGTGGAAGAGGGAGAGACAAGTGCAGTGTCCAAGGCCACCCTTGCCAGTGTCCCCCTTTAAGGTCAAGGTGACTTTGCTGCTCTCCCGGTTGCGGCCTTCGCTCGGAGTGCCCAGAGGGCTCCCGTGGGTGGCTGGGACAGGGTAAAGCTGTGCAGATATCGGTATCAGACCAGGTTCTCAGGCTCTGCGTGTGCGTTTTGCTGGGACTCCCTGTGCCGTTGCTGGCCCGTGCAGCGGGTGAGCAGCTGTAGTCCTGTCTCAAGCTCAAACTCCCGCGTTTCTCCCCCCGCCGTGGACGAGGGGGGCAGAGCTCACCTGAGCTGCCCGCTGCCTGTCTCCTGCCCCGGCCATTGTTGGGAAAACCACCTGCTCACGGGAACGTGCTGGACAACCTTATCTGAACCCAGCGCTGACCCGGCTCTGAGCAGGGGGTGGAGGAGCGACCTCCCGAGGCGCCCACCAACCCAAGCGTTCCTGTGATGCTAAACCTCGGCAGCCCCCCTCCAAGTCAGGGGGTGCTGAGGCCCCTGGAGAGCCAGGCCCTCACCGCCCTCACCCGGAGCAGCCAAGAACTGGTGGATCTGAAGTCAGTGGACACGTCTGGACATTTGGTAGCACCGTGCTCCAGCCCCAGAGGCGGATTCAGAGCTCCTGGTACTAAGGCAAAACAAATACCCGCCCCGATACTGTCCGCTTAGCTTAGGTCCTGCTCTGTAGCCGCAGATTCGGGGACACGGCGCAGAACAGAAGGCGTGACCAGCACGT